CCGGTCAGATTCCAGGCCGGGGACGGTGACCTCATTCTCATCCCCTGCGACGGGCACTGTCTGGGGCTGCCCCTGTGCATCCTTGTACTGGACCAGGAAGGAGTCAAAGTTGCCCTGGGCCACCGTCCAGGACAGGCGCAGGGAGTCTGGAGTCGAGCCAGTCACAGTCACTTCCCCCAACAGCGGCTGTACGGGGGGCTGTGGGTGGCGGGGCTCCTCTGTCTTCTCTGGGGCTGTAAATAAGAGGATCCAGTCAGGGCTAAACTGGCAGCCTGGGACTGGGACTTGGGGTTTGGACAGGTTGTCACACCTGGAGGGTCATATTCAATTAGCGTGAGTGTGACTCCTGGAAAGTCTGGCACCACCAGGGTATGACACACCTCCTGGGCCTTGGGGAGCAGCTGAATGGGATGGACAGGGCCCAGCAGAGCAGGGGAGGCTGGCCGCTCCTCAGCCCGGGAGCGGGGCCAGCCATCTCGCTGGGAGGCCCAGCTGACTCCTGGCTGAGGGCAAGTGTGTGGAAGGCTGGGAGGGGTCACATGGGGCTTAGGTGGTTTCCACTCACTAGTGGTGCCGTCAGCTGTGAGCGGGCCATGCCGCTTCTTGTTGGCAATCCCAAACAGACTGAATCTGTACTTGTGGTCAGGGTCCAGAGGGGAGACAGTGACCGAGCGCTCTGGTCCTTCCACAGGTACCACCTGAGGCCTTCCATCCCTGTCCTTGTACTGGACCACAAAAGAGTCGAATTGGCCCTCAGGGACAGTCCAGGAGAGGTGCAGCGAGTCCGGGCTGGGATCTGTCACCCACAGCATTCCCAGGCGGGGTGGAGTCGTTGGGCTGGGAACCCTCTGAGGCACTAGGGAAAAGGAGTAGAAAGAAGGGAGGGACACAGATCAAAGAGGGGACATCCATCCTCCCACGTAGAAATGCTGTGTGAGGCTGTACAGGCTGTTCACTGCACAAAGGTGCATGGCTGAAGGAGCACTGAGGGACTGTATCCAGCCAGCACTCTGCGTGTCGAGCTGTGTACAATGGCAACGGGCTATGCCCTCCTGGAGGAAGGATGCTTTCTTCTAAATGTATGGACTAGTGTGGCCCTGACTCTATCCCCAGCCTGGAGAGGGGCTTCAGGGAGAAGGGAGCCCAGCCAGCCCTTTCCACATCTCCGTGGCCAGGGAAGTGTTCCAGGACAAGCTCTGCTGCTTCCAGGCCTAACTACTAGCTGCTTTCTCCTCCAAGGGATGGGAGCATGATGCTTGGAGTGAGTTCATGTGGGAAGGCCTCCCACACCTGTGCCTGGGCCCCACCTCCTCCCCGCCCACCCTGCACCACCAGCCCCACTCCCTACCCTGTGCCATCAGCACTGACACAAGCTCCTCCACCCTCCCTCTTTGCTCTCTATTCCCAGCCCAGATTCCAGAAAGAGACGTCTACACTCGCTGTAGTCATGTCCTCACCTCCATCACCCTCCCAACCCAGGTCCGCCCTCCACGGCAGCTCTCAGCAGGCTCTGTGGTGAGGTCGCCCTTACTAGTCTTGTGGACACTCTAGCTCTGAATCACTCCTACGGAATCTGACATGTCTGACCGCACCCTTCAGTTTGGCGTGCAGCACACCACTTTCTGAGGCTCTGGCCCCTCTTCACAAGTCACCCCTCAGGCCACCTGGGGGCTCCTCTTTCTCTGCTCGCGCCCTGAGTGTTGCCCATCCCAGGGCTCTAGCAGCCCTGTTTCTTCCCACGTGCTCACCCTGGTTCATGTCCACTGACACCAATGACACCCACACCACATTTTCAGGCCTCCCCTCTGCTCTCCACACCCTTGAGGGCGGCAGTATATCACTTTCTGCTCTCGTGACTTCCCCCTCTATGCCTCGATTCTCCATGTCTGTAATGCAGACACACCTCCCAGGCCTACTATTAGGGTTAGGTGTGATGATACACCTAGAACGTCTGGTATACGTGTGCCCTTAACAAATGCTCAAACGTGCTTATCTAAGCGTCTCGCTGCATTGTTCCTCATCTCTGCTGTTCCTAGTCTCCGGAAACGGGACTGTCTCAGCCAGAAATGTGGGGGTGCCTGGGGCCCTCGTGCTCCTTTACCTCCCACATCCAGCCTCACTGCCACCATCCCAACCTGGCCACTATCATTTCCTGCTGGCTCTTAACTCGCTTCTCCAGCTATCCTCTGCAGCAGCCTCGGTGTTATTTGGAAGATAAATATCGAATCATGTCTCTCCCCCTCTTAAAACCTTTCAGAGGTCCCCCTGGGCCCTCAAATGAGGTCCAAGCTCATGCCAGACCCTTGAGACCAGTCCCCTCAGCTCCCCAGGTGCCCTGCTGTCCAGCCAGAGGAAACAGACTTCCGTTCTCTTACAGAGCTGCACTCACGCCTGCCTTGCTCTCCATGGCTCCCTCTGTCTGTACTGCCCTCCTCAACCTCTCTACCTGACCCTCCACTATTCCCTTTTCAGGGTTGATCTCAGGCACCCCTGCCTCCAGGAAGCCTTCCTGGAGTTTCCAAAGCTGGTTCCCAAAACGGTGGGAATATCCCCTGGGGGACCATGCAGAGGACAGGGGGCAGGGGTGCGCATGACTGCTCTCACTTACCAATCTTGGCTTCAGCCACTAGGGGGCCATGCTTCTTCTTGCCCACAAGCCCGTACAGGATGAATTTGTACTTGCGGCCCATATCCAGGTTGGTGATGAGGGCAGAGCGCTGGGGCCCCTCCACTGGCACCACCCGGGGCCCATCCCTGTCCTTGTACTGGATCATGAAGGAGTCGAACGTGCCCTCGGGGACCGTCCAGTGCAGGAGTAGGGAGTTGGGAGTCACATCTGTCACTGCCAGCTCTCCCAGGCGTGGTGGGACCAAGGGCTTCCCAGGCTTTTCCTCATCCCTGTCTGGGGATGGTAGAGGCAAAGCAAAGCAGGAAGACTCAACCCTTGCTTTGCCCTTGCCTCATCCCCTCCTCTCTACCCACTGGCTCACTCCAGCCTGGACAGCTCCCTCCCTGCCTCAAAGGTTCCATTTCCTCAGCCCTCAGCCCTCTGTGACCAGCCTTCTTAGGAAGGGGGCACTTCCCCCCTCAACCTCTGTTCTGCAGTGAGAGCTTTGGCCTTTCCCTTGTGACAGCTGCCCCATCCCTCACAAAGGTCCCAAGGTTTATGGGGACGTTTCAGGCCCTCCATGGTTCTTCCTGAGAGTCTAGAAACTCCCCATTACTGCCTGTAGAGCAGTCTGAAGACTCCATTCCACCTGAACTTCTCTCTCTCCCTTGTTACCCTCTCTCTCCTGGAGTTGCAGGGACAATCAGCTCCCCTGGTCCCATAAAGAGGGACTGGGAGGGAAATGTGACAGCCGGGCACCTCAGGCCCTGTCCTGCACGGGTTCTACAGACCTCACCCATCTATGAAGGATGGCTGCGGTGCTTCCTACGTCAAGAAAACCTCCACCCCCCACAAAANGCCACCGTCCTCTCACCTGTCACCCCGATGGCAGACACGGGGCCCTGGCGCTGGTCACCATGGAAGCCGTACAGGTTCATCTTGTACTTGTGGTCTGGCTCCAGGCCCGAGATGATGACCTCATCCTGGTGTCCTGGCACCTGCACCACCTTGCGCTGCCCGTCCCCATTCTTGTACTGAACCAGGAAGTGGTCAAACTGTCCCTCGGGGACGGTCCAGGAGAGGTGCAGGGAGTCAGGGGTGGCGTCGGTCACTGCCAGCTCCCCCAGGCGCGGCTTGACAGAAGGCTCGGGGGCGGTAGTGGGAGGTTCTGAAGGTTCATCCTCCTCCTCCCTTGGGACTGAATAGAGACCAAGAGTGAGAAAGACCTGAGAGGGGGCAGGTGTCCTGTGGCTCCGCGTGTCTCTGGATTCTCACACTATCTGAAAGGAAGCAGGGTGGCACAGTTCCTCTCTCTTACCTGTCAGGGCCTCGACGTGGGTAGGACCCACACGCTGCCAGCCATGAAAACCATACAAAGTCACCAGGTATCTGTGGTCAGATTCCAGACCCGAGAGGGTGATGTCATTTTGGTCACCCCTTAAACTGATATGTTGAAGTTCCCCATCCTGGTCTGTGTACTGGATCTCGAAGGAGTCAAATTCTCCCTCAGTGTCAGTCCAGGAGAGATGCAGGGTGTGTGGGGTGGCCTCGTCTACAGTCAGCTCCCCAAGGCGGGGCTCCGACTCTGCAGGGCTTGGGGCTGAGGTCTCAGCTTCGATTTCTTCCCTGGAGTCTGGCTCAGAGAAACAGGAAGAGACGCGTGACTGGTCTGTCACTGTACCAGTTCTCTCCAAGGGGAGGGCAGGAGGGAAGGAGGTGAAGGCAAGGGGTCAGTAATAAAGACAGCCAACTACTGGGATGAATTTCAAAAGCATGATGCTAAGTGTAAGAAGCAAACACAAAAGACTATGTATTATGTGATTCTGCAAATGAAATGCTTAAAAAGACAAAACTGAAACGATTGAAAGCAATTGCTGGTTGCCAGAGGATGGGGTTGGGGGAATTGACTGCTAGGGGCGCAGCAAACTTTTGGGGTCCAGAGAAAGGTTTTATATCTCAGTTGTGGTAGTGATTTCATGACCTACACATTTACCCAAGTTCGTTGAATTACCCGCTTAAAATGGGTGAGTTTAATTGTATGTAAACTACACCTCCATAAAACTGATCCCTTTCCCCAAACACAGGGGTATACAATAGGAAGCTCGGAAATTGTGTGGCTGGGTCAGGCCAGGAGAGCCTGGTGGAAGGGGGAACAGTCTATTCTGGCTGCAGCCACACTCACCAGTCATGACAGTGGCGGAGAGGGGACCCGTACGCTTGTCCTCGAGCACCCCGTACAGCAGCAGCTGGTACCTGTGGGCGGGGTCCAGGCCCAAGATGCTGACCTCCCGGGAGCTGCCCTCCACATGCACCACCTGGGGCTGCCCGTCCCTGTCTTTGTACTGGACCAAGAAGGAATCAAACTGGCCCTCAGGGACTGTCCACGCAAGGCCCACGGAGTCTGGTGTCACGCTGGTCACCTGCAGCTCCTCCCCTAGATGGGGTTTTGGGGGATGCTTTGTTCCAGCATCCTCCACAGCACTCTGGGTCTCTGAGATGTAGACACAGAGAGAAAATGGCTGAGATGTTTCTGGAAGGTTGACCTCAAATGGCAGAGTGGAGAAGACTAGACAGGGCTTTGCCATGGCTGAGTCCCGAAGGGCTGGTGCTATGGGCTTATGCAAGGAGAGGGGAGACTAGACCCCAGACCAGGGCTGGGACCAAGGAACAACTGTGATGGCAGCCACCACAGATGACCACAAATGGCCCTGGCCTGGCAGGGTGCCAGATGCCTTCTAGGGAGCCCCCAGGGACAGACGCAGGCCCTACAGGGGCCCCCTCACCTGTGGAGCCGTCCGTGCTGAGGGGGCCGTAGCGCTTCTTGCCCAGGAGGCCGTAGAGGAGGAACCTGTACTTGCGCCCGCTGTCCAGGGGCGTGATGGTGACCGAGCGCTCATGGCCCTCCACAGGCACCAGCCGGGGCCCCTCCTTGTCCTTGAACTGGACCACAAACGAGTCGAAGTAGCCCTCAGGGACCGTCCAGGAGAGGCGCAGCGAGTCCAGGGTGGGGTCTGTCACCCAGAGTTCCCCAAGGCGGGGTGGGGTCCCTGGGCTGGTGTGACCTTGGGCAGCTGACAGAGAGGAAAGGTTCTTGTGTTTATTTTTTTCCAAAATGACTCTTTGACTGTCTCCCGCTGGAGTTGGAAAAACCCACAACTACCCAAATGATCAGTGTTTCCTGCAAATCTTTCCTTCACTCACTCTCCCCTCCCCACCAGCATCCCCAGCTGGCCTGTGCCTCTCCACTTAAGCAGTGTGGGAGGGGTCCTCTGTCCTGAGCCATCTCTGGGAAGAGATTCCCTAGCTTGCTGTTTATCTTCCTCTTGCTGTCCAGACCCTTCCCACTACTTCCTCAGGCTACTTCCTTAGCATGGTACAGCTTGTCACAGACTTGGTGTATCTATTTCCTTGTACCAAGGAGCCCACTCTTTGTGGTTTGACTGGCTCCTGGGGAAATCCGAGGGTCCTGGGGACATCAGAAGGGGCACAGGGTCCCTGATGGGGATAGACAGCAGCTGGGGAGGCATGATGTTATGATGAAGGCGACCCTCATAGGCCCTGATTGAGGAGTGGGGGCTGCCTCCATGTGAGTGGGGGGAGGGGAGAAGAAGAGGTGCTCAGGCAGGGAAGGATCTGGTGTCTGCCCAAGGAGCCATCCTGAAACCGAGAAGGAGCTGGCCTGCTGCCTTCCTGGACAGCGAGGATGCTGACGGCATTGTTATTGAGAGTTTTCTGGCAACAGGGGGCCCCCAGGGGCAGGGGAGGGCTTGGACAGAAACCCAGGAAAGGGGCAGAGCTGGGCTGGGCCCAACTGAGCAGCCAGCCCTGGGCTCCTGGGTACCCCAATTTCTGAGGTTCCAAGAGGACAGAGCAGGAAAGGGGTCCTCTTGGGGAAGCAGATATGGGAACCTGTGGGCCTGAGCCAATAGGGTGAGAGTCAGAGGAGAGACAGCAAAACTCTCAGGAGGCGATGGCTACACAGGGCTGAGGACCCACAAGGCCAAAGGAGGCAGGAAAGGCTCTCGGCTCCTCCTTTCATCCCCTTTATCAGCACCCCAGTTTCCCATGTTCCACCTTCCAGGAAGGAGTCTGAAGGGTCTTCCCCCACTTCAACGGAAGCGGAAATTATGAGAGGAAAGGAAAAGTCAGCAGGGGGAATGGATCCAGGAACTGGCCCCATGTTCCTGGTTCTCATCTGCCTTAGGCCGGGGCAGGCAGTGCGGCTTTTCAAATGAAACAGTAGAAGTGGACAAAGGGGAGAGCTGGCAGGAGAGGGAGATCAGGCAGTGTGAAGAAGGGAGGGAAGGCTGGGGCCTCAGGCTCAGCTTCATGGGGGTCCCCCTCACCCGTCTTTGCCTCTACAGAGACTGGGCTGCGTCGTTTTTCATCCTGGATCCCAAAAAGCAGGAACTTGTACTTCCTATTGGGCTCCAGGTCGGGGACAGTGACCTGGCGTTGGTCTGCAGTCACAGGCACCATGTGGGACTGCCCATCCCTGTCCTTGTATTGGACCACGAAGGAGTCGAATTCCCCCTCGGAGACCGTCCATGAGAGGCCCACAGAGTCCGGGGTCACGTCCGTCACTGTCAGCTCCCCCAGGCGCAGCTTCTGGGGGGACTGTGTGGCTGGGGCTTGCGGGAGCGGAGCTGAGATTGGGGAAGACAAAGAACATGGCTGAGATCTCCCGGAGGGAGAGCTCCCCACGCACAGGGTTCCTGGGCTCCCAGGGACTAAGGGGCCTCAAACTGAGATGGGAAACAGCTACATTTTCACTGCCCTCTAACTGAAATGTAGCATTGCCTTCAGTGATGAACACAGGAAACCAACCTCGGGTACTAGCAGTACCTGTGACTGTCACCAACAGGAATCACAGTTGCTTTCACATCACCTTAGAATGACTGCAGAGACCACAAAATACTAATTACACTCTCACTCCTTCCAAATGCGGGTAGGTTACTGCACATGCCATTAAGTCTTGTTATTAATGAACAAATAAAGAAGTCCCTGTATTACTAAACCATAAATTTGAATTTTAAAATATTTTGATAATTGGATATTGATATAATTGGTTTCCTTTGTAATCCTATGCATTTTATTTTACAGATTTTAAAACATTGCTCTGAGAGGGGTCCATGGGTTTCAACAGAGACCATGGCACAGAAATGGTGGGAACTTATGCTGAGGAAACCTGGAGGGCGGGAAGGCCCTGGAAGCCAAGGGCGAGGGAATACAGTAGGGCCAGGGGGCTGAGCACCTCTGACACGGTATTCAAGGGGTGGGTGCTGTTTAACCCC